ACTCGAGTTTGTTCGACTCGAAAGCGACTCTTATCGATCTTCTCGTCGACAGGTTTATCTGTCCGAGCTTTCTACTCCGGCGTTTCCCTTCTTTCCCCCTGTGGCTACATCCGAGGCAACGCGGAGTCGCGACCTCGCGGATTTTACGGGCTTATCGCGGCCTCTTAAGTAGGCTATCGACAGCGTCGTTAGGCCTGCAGAGAACTGTCAACGTGTCACGCGAGTTTTTCTGTCGCAAGAACTCGCGGAATCCGGCCCGGAACGGGGCCCGAGGACTGCTTGTGAAAACTTTGGAAAGCCAACCTTCGACCCTAACGGTGATTTCGATTTTCCATCGGACAACGAGCGCGTCCGGAGCAACCGGTTAATAGTCTGCGAGATACAGGTTGACGAGATTCCAGCGAAAGTGCTGGAAATTCCGAGATAAGAGTATCGGCGCGGCGGAGACGCTTAAGGTAACGACGAGCCGTGTCGTCATCGAGGAAACGACGTCGATGAAAGATGTATCTAAACGCTTACAGCACGGTAACGATGCGTACCGTTAGCAACGAGCGACTTTATCTGCGCGAGATTTCAGAAAAATCGGCGGGAACCTCGCTCCCTTATCTCCCTATCGCTGCTCATAGAGCAATGATCTAGCGGTAACTTTGTTTAAGTTGCGATTAAACCGGCGAATGCCTAGGGAAACCAGAAATATCTAAATGACACATACCACTTCCTCTGCAGATCGTTACAATATTACCTCGAGCATCGCGCGTGTACCAACGTTCTCCAAAATGGAGTCACATAGGCGCTAGGCTTACATTCGCACGCTAGCGTTAATTTCAGAATTATAGCACAGTGGACGTAATTCGGCCAGAAATGGGCCCGATACAGAGACCTCTGATCGTCGCCACGGATTTGTACTCAGCTCTGTATTATCGTCCCTCTGTCAACTATACCTTTCGTCGAACCTAGTTGACACCTAATCGGCGTGGTCCCTCGAGGAACGCACTCGGGGGTTCAATTTTGAAGGAAGGTTAGAATTTCGAAGACGGAAAAGACGGGGTGGTGAGTGGAAGAGGGCCCGATACAGAGACCTCTGATCGTCGCCACGGATTTGTACTCAGCTCTGTATCATCGTCCCTCTGTCAATTATACCTCTCGTCGAACCTAGTTGACACCTAATCGGCGTGGTCCCTCGAGGAACGCACTCGGGGGTTCAATTTTGAAGGAAGGTTAGAATTTCGAAGACGGAAAAGACGGGGAGGTGAGTGGAAGAGGGCGTGCACACGCGTTACTTCCGCGCGATGGCGAACGCCACCGATCGTGAGCGATAAGGATCGCTAGAGCGAATCGATCGGCGCAGGTAACAATATCCTTGAGACTCGAGAGGCGTCATAGTTAGCGCGCGGCCCGACGCACTGTTTGCCGTGTAATAGTAACGATGTTTATCGATCCTGTTATCGGGAGTACACTCGCAAATGCACGGAGGTTCCACGAGTTCGAGGACGAGCGGCGGAGACGTAAATACACGGCGCGGGAGAGACAGAGGGAGGCCTAATACCAGAAAGGGAAGAGAGACGGTCGGAGGACGAAGGAAGGAAAAGAATTCATAAGAAGAGGAAGAATCGGTGTCCTGGTCGACGTTGAAACAACGCCATTTTCACACCTTGCTGCATCTGGTTTCTGCGAAGCCTATTTTTCGCTCCTTCCTCCGTAGCTCGTCAGTTTTCTCATTTCCTCCTCCATTTCAACCGTTATCTGATTCGTTATCTCTATCGTCGACGAGGATTGTTGCATCTCGTGCGGTATCACGCCCGCGTTCGTCTCCTCGGGGTTGTTTTCGACGACCAGGTTTCAGGCCCTGGCGTGCAACGTGGAACGATCAACATCTTCGCTGACACCGGTCTGGCTGTCGTCGAGGAGTCGCGATAAGATTGTTTCGCGATCGTCGATTGTTCTCCGCACGAACCGGCTCCGAAGAGTCCTTGCTCGTTTGAGTTGATTCGAAAACAGGGCCAGAGGTCGGGTTTTCGGGCGGTGCAGAGGAATGCAGGACGGGAAATTTATTAACGCGTGATTTACACAGAGTAACGATGCTTTTAAGGTATTGCAAGGCTACCGGAATGGCTGCTCCTTCAATTATCCTAAGTGGCACGTTCAGCTTTTGGAACGGAAGTAAGAACGTAACTGTGAGCTACTTAAAACGGATCCAACGTGATAAACCCATGGCGAATCAACGTATCCGGAGTACAATAATACCAATAAATCCCGTAATAACAATTTTTCGAAAACACTGGTACGCGTAATATTGCAGGTTCGATCGCAGAAATGTCAGCGGAGATGGCGGGAAAAATTGGTGGAAAAAGGAGGGAAGGGAACGGGGGAAATAAAAATAAAAATGGCGATACAAATGCTTAGCCACGGTCCGTCAGACGCTCGCGTCCGCGACGCGGGCGCAATTACTCGCAGCCGTAATTAAATTCCGTGTACAGGTCGCGATTTATCCGGTGGGCAAAAGCGAAATAACGAGGCGTAGGGAGTGTCGCCGCGAGGCGACGTCGGACGACGGCGAGCATCGAGGTTGAAAACGATGAAGATCGTCGTGGACGTGGGTCGTTGACATCGTCCCGTGATTTTCCTCGACGATCACATAGATGCACCTTACACGTGTGTGCACGTGCCCATTACGTCGGCCTGCCTACCCCCTGTTGGCGGCAGGGCGGTGGGACGGCCGGGGTGAACCCCTCACCACCAGTTGCATGTGCGATTGCAACTTCACCCCCACGCAATTATCCCATCCAGTAGTCGAGCTTCTATAGATAGACCGATATTACTCTCTTTCTCTCTCCTTCTCTCTCTTCCACGTCGCACTCGCTCTCCGTCTCTGTCCCTCCCTTTCTCTCCGTTTCTTGATATTCCTCGCTCCTTTTTCCGCTCTCTCTTTCTCTCCTTTACCCGTTCGAACACATTTTTCCCTGTTTATCTGGCCGCTCGAGGTTGACTCTTTCGAGGCGCGTATCACGGATACACTTTATTTGCGAGGATAATTGTTATGCTCGCGCTTATTTTCAATTGCTCACCGTTATATCGAGAGGGTTCTGTATTGCTCCGTTCCCAACAAGCCAGCTCCGAGATGGATTTAGTGACTATCCAGCCGCGGTTCCGGCAATTTATCGTTTGACTAGAGTTGCGCAGATTCGTTTCCCAAGTTCCAGCAAGATCCCAAGTGTCTCTGGAAAGATCGCAGATGGAGGTACGCGCTTTAAAGTCCGTAGTCCCGAGGTCTGTCATCGACTCGTACGCGTTTTAAACTCGGGTAGATCCATACAACTCGTACAAGTAATCGGTGGAGAATAGATTCAGTGAC